TGGGGGGAGGGGGGCGAGATCCAAACCGGCATGCGGGAATGGTTACCGGTTCGCGCGAACTGGCACGCGTCTAGGGCTGACGCCGAGAATCTCGGCGAGCCGGGGCGAAAATTGCGTGTGCGCCCGACCGGTCGAACATGCTCACGCAGGCATACATTTGCATACACGCGTGCATGCATGCATTTGTGGTCGCGCGTGTGGGTGTGTCAGTGGGTGGGTGGGTGGGTGAGTGGGTGTGTGTCAGTGCATGTATGTGTGAGTGGCCCTATGTCTGCCAGGAGCGGAAGGGGCCGGACCGTGGGGGGGGGGGGAGCAGGGGCGCCCGAGGATGCGCAGCCGGTGGGCATGCCGAGGTGGCGAAGTGGGCGTGGGAGAAGCGGCTGTGGATGGGCGCGCTAGCGAAAGGGCCACCTAACGCGCCCCGTGTTCCGGTGGGAGGGGGGGGGGGGGGGGAGGCCCCTGTCTAGCGCCCCCGGGTTTCCCCGGTGCCATTCGGGGAAGATGGGCTCTGCTCTGCGTGGACGGAGTTAGGGGGAGTGGAAGGGGGGGGGGGGGGGGGCGAGATCCGTCGGAGGACGGTGGGGCTCAAACAACCCACCGGCTGCTGCCTCGGTCAGGAGTCCGTCTCTGCGCATGTCCGCCGGGGCCGAGATCCCCGGGGCCGGCGGGGGAGGAGGGGGGGGATTCACACATGGGAGCCGAGGGGGAGGGTGTACGTTCGCCGAGCGTGTGGTGCCCCGGTGCCGGGCCGCAAACACGGTGAAACCCATGGCCGCGTCCATCCCGAACGGGGGCTGGGGGTGGGAAATGTGTGCGAGAGCGGGAGGGGGCCCGGCGCCGGGAGTGCGGTGCCCGACGAATGGCCACACCGGTGGATGCCAGGGGTCAGACACGCGGCTGGTCGAATGCGGGGGGCCATTGTCGCCAGGCAATCCTCCTCTCGGCATGACCGAGGTCGGCGCGTGCTACCGCACCTGGGGCGGGGGAAGCGAACGCACGAAGCCGGCGGGCGTGGGCGTGTGGGTGTGGGTGTGGGTGTGGCTGTGTGCGTGGGTGCGGGTGCGGGTGTACGTGGGTCTGCGTGCGCGTGTCCGTGTCCGATGTGTACGGGGCAGCCCGAGTGGAAGTTGTGGGCGGGGGAGGGGGGGGGGGACCCAAAACCGGGCAATAATAGCTAAGACCGCCCGGACAAGGGCGCGCCCGCGCGTGAACGCGTTGCTGGTGGGGCATGCCACACGCGCATACACTCGCACGCTGATGATCCTGGGAGCAAGGGGGCAGCGGGGGGCTGATGGGGGGCCGGACCGGGCCCATGGTGTTCCGAAGAAAGTCACCCATGGTGCCCGGGGGGCGAGCGGGGGGCGGGGGGAACAGTCGACCGGACCTCAGCGTGGAGTCCCAGATTGGGAGACCGCTAGTTACCCGGTAAGTGGGCCCGTGCATGCGTGTGCGTGTGCGTGTGTCTGGGTGGACATGGGGGGGGGGGGGGCAAATGCGCGCATGTTGGACCCGGGGCATTCACGGAAGCGGGCGACGGGTAGAGGGGGGGG